TCCTGTCACCCCTCCCTCACCTCACCGATTAGAAAAACCCCCACCAAAAAATGCTATGAGCTGGTTTGATTGGGATTGGCTTGGTTGGTATGGCTGTGATGAGCAACAACAAACCGCTCTCCGTCCGTTGCTGGGCTGGCTTGGGCTGGGCAACGTTGAGGCATATTCCACCCACTCATTCATTGAGTGACTTTTCCTGGCACTGGCTGGCACTGCTATTGTCCAATTGCCCGGCGCTCAGCTCTATCATGGCACTGCCCGTTGAAGCGCCGGCCGTTCCATCGGTCGAACCTTCCACTCCCAATCTGCTATATAATTTCTTTCACCTCTGCATCTCCCCGCTCCCCTCCTCTCCCTCTTCTTCTTCCTCTTCTTCTTCATCCTTCACACCTTTACCCTAAAGGCATACCAATTAACCCAACGACCCTTAGAAAACATATCATCCGTCAACATGGCTGTCAAGAAGGTCTTCGCCCGCTCCGTCTACGACTCCCGTGGAAACCCTACCGTCGAGGTTGACGTCGTCACCGAGACTGGCCTCCACCGTGCCATCGTTCCCTCCGGTGCCTCTACCGGTTCGTCCCGACCCCCTTCGGCTACTGTCCGTATGCACTCGCTAAGTTCATGATAATCCAGGTCAGCACGAGGCTTGCGAGCTCCGAGATGGTGACAAGTCCAAGTGGGGTGGCAAGGGTGTCACCAAGGCCGTCGAGAACGTGAACACCGTCATTGCTCCCGCTCTTATCGAGAAGAACCTCGATGTCAAGGACCAGTCCGCTGTCGATGCTTTCCTGAACGAGCTCGATGGTACTCCCAACAAGACCAAGCTTGGTGCCAATGCTATTCTCGGTGTATCTCTGGCCGTCGCCAAGGCTGGTGCTGCTGAGAAGGTGAGCTTCAAACAAATGAGTTTTATACTATGAATTTCTCAGCTAACTACTTACTGCAGGGAGTTCCTCTGTACGCTCACGTCTCTGACCTCGCCGGAACCAAGAAGCCTTACGTCCTTCCCGTTCCCTTCATGAACGTCCTCAACGGTGGCTCCCACGCTGGCGGTCGTCTCGCCTTCCAAGAGTTCATGATCGTTCCTACGTACGTACCTCGATACGCTCCTCTCAAGCATCTTTATTTTCTAACGCGGTTACAGTGAGGCGCCCACCTTCACCGAGGCCATGCGCCAGGGTGCTGAGGTCTACCAGGCCCTGAAGGGTTTGGCTAAGAAGCGATACGGCCAATCCGCTGGCAACGTCGGTGATGAGGGTGGTGTTGCTCCCGATATTCAAACTGCCGAGGAGGCCCTTGAGCTTATCACCGATGCTATTGAGCAGGTTGGCTACACCGGCAAGATCAAGATCGCTATGGATGTCGCCTCCAGCGAGTTCTACAAGGTCGAGGAGAAGAAGTACGATCTTGACTTCAAGAACCCCGAGTCAGACCCCACCAAGTGGATTACATACGAGGAGCTTGCCAACCTGTACTCAGAGCTCTGCAAGAAGTATCCTATCGTGTCCATTGAGGACCCCTTCGCTGAGGACGACTGGGAGGCTTGGAGCTACTTCTCCAAGACCCAGGACATCCAAATTGTTGGTGATGATTTGACTGTCACCAACCCTCTGCGTATCAAGAAGGCCATCGAGCTCAAGTCCTGCAACGCCCTTCTTCTCAAGGTCAACCAGATTGGTACTCTGACCGAGTCTATCCAGGCTGCCAAGGACTCCTACGCTGATGGCTGGGGTGTCATGGTCTCTCACCGATCCGGCGAGACTGAGGATGTCACCATTGCTGACATTGCTGTCGGTCTCCGTGCCGGCGAGATCAAGACCGGTGCCCCTGCCCGATCTGAGCGTCTCGCCAAGCTCAACCAGATTCTCCGAATTGAGGAGGAGCTTGGTGACCAGGCTATTTACCCTGGCGCTAACTTCCGCAAGTCTGTTAACCTGTAAATGGGAATAGACCAATGCGTGGAACAAAAGCCTTGTGATGATAATGATGCCTTTGGGTCCTCAGCCGGGAGCGCGTGAGACCATATACCAGAACGGCAAATTGAAAGTAATAGAGGCAAAATAGTAAAAGCAAACTGATCAATTAATGAGCCTTTGGTTGAAGTTCAACAAACTCATTTCCCCTCGTGCTTTGTGTATGTCCTGTAATGGAGAATGACTCAATATTTCGACAAATTAGGCCTGCTCATCTGTGTAATCTATGAGCAGAGTTTATAAATTAGCTACACAAATTAGGAAAATTGCCTCTTTAACAGTCCACTGTTTCATCGATTCTACAGACATTGTTAACTGATACGATAAGTTAACTAATGTTAGACCTTTCTGTTCCGATGTGGCTTGTATGTGGCTGTTTCTACAGCAACAAGTCTATTAGTGCATTATTATCAACAATAATAATATGCGACCATCCCACTTAAATGTTTAGCCTTTTAACAACAACCACACCCCTAACTGCCCCTCAGAGTGTTTTACACGGAGCAAACGCCTCGCTAGAGGAAACACTAACTCACCATGTCAGCTTCAGGAGATCTGATTGACTTTGACTTGATCGAAGGACAAAAAGAAAATATCCAGTCTTTGCCTGGTGGTCGTTCAGCTAAGAAACTAGCTGAGCTCTACTCCCCATCACCACTCCATAAACTGTCTACGCCAACCCCTTCGGACACGCGCAATGTCAACGACTGTATTCGCGCCGAATTCGAACAAGAAGTTGAAAACATCGCCGAGTCAGACGATCCTCTTGACGTTTTTGAACGTTATGTTCGATGGACCCTAGACGCCTACCCCTCAGCGCAAGCAACACCACAATCACAACTGCATAGCCTTCTCGAGCGTGCAACCAAAACCTTCATTGGTTCAGCACAATACAAAAACGACCCTCGATATCTCAAACTCTGGGTTTACTACATCCACTTCTTCTCCGACACACCCCGCGAGACGTACATGTTCTTATCGAGACATGGGATAGGAGAGTCCCTCGCATTATTTTACGAGGAATATGCTGCTTGGCTTGAGGCAGCGAATAGATGGGCACAAGCCGAAGAAGTGTACAAGCTGGGTATTGATCGCGAGGCTCGACCTGTTCAGCGACTTATTCGCAAGTTCAAGGAGTTTGAGCAGCGGGTCGCCCAGCAGCCCGACGTCATGAACGAACCCTCATCGCCAGCATTGCCGACTATGCGGCCGGCTCTTGCTGCGAAAGTTGATCCCTTTGCTGCTGCGCGAGCAGCAGATCCTCAGGCGGCAAGACCCTCAAGTGGTGGAGCTGGCAAGCCGTCCAAGTCCAAGCTCGCAATCTTCTCTGACGCTGATGCCCAACCTTCTGCCATGTCTTCAATGAGTGCGGGCTCAAAAGGGTGGGATAGTATCGGTTCATTGGCAGACCGAAGGAAGGAGAATGCGGTAGAAGCCAAACCCTGGGCGGGTGAGACACTACCAGCTGGTGGCAAGAAGAGTACGGCTCCTAAGATGTCAGTGTTTAGGGATCCGGTAAGTTGATATTCTTCCTCCCGGCTTGCCCACATGTTGATGATCATAGGACTAATGTATGGTTATGATTTTTTATGGTTCAATAGTCTCTTTCGCAAATACAGAATATCGTGGTTGTTCCATCGAAGCATCAAATCTCTGTGCATCCGCAAACTGGAAAAAAAGAGCGTGTTTTTGTTGACCTTGCTGCTATCTACCCAAGTCCTGAAGAGATTGGCACAGAGCTTAGTTTCGAGGAGATTATGGCTGCTGGCCGAGGCTGGCTCGACCACTGCTGGGAGGATGAAACATTTGACGAGAACCTCGTTCCTGAGCCTGTCGTCCCCCTCGAGATCGAGGAAATCAGCAAAGGAGCAGGGGAGAGGCTGCTGATCCATCAAGATCCAGTCGACAGACGCCCTGTCCATCAAGACCCTGTAGGCAAGTTGGCCATTCACAAAGACACAGCTGAAAAGTTGGTTATTCATCAGGATTCTTCCACCAAGTTGGCAGTTCACAAAGACATTGTGCAGTATGACGAGAATGGCAAGGCTGTCGAGCAACATCGGGGGCCACGAGGTGGCAAGAAGAAGAAAATGATGGAGGTCAACGAGACCCAGATCAGTGAGTCGCTATGTTCTCAAAATCGCACAATCATCTGACTGTTTAATAGTCAAAGCAAAGCTTGACTCGCCATCCAGACCAAAGCTCAAGAAGAAAAACACCTCTGAGCCTACCATGACACTTCATACTAAGGCTGCCACTGATGATATTTATGATATTTTCAATGCACCCCTGAAACCTGCTGGACAGGAGGAAGAGGATGAAGAGAGCGCAGATGATGACGATTATGAGAGTGATGATAATTATACTACCGATGCAGAAAGCACAGGCACCACAAGGCATATAGAGCACAGCGAGGCCGGTGACGACGAGAACGAAGAGACGTCTGATGTTAAGAGTGTTAGTGAATGGTCCGACTTTTCAACTCGAAGACACATTCCTCATATTGATGGAGAAGATGATGGTGACGAAGGCACCGAACGAAATGAGACACAAGGATCTGATTTGATCGATACATGTGCCCCAGGACCTGATCAGGAGTCATCTGAAGCTTTCGACAACACTGATCAACAAAAGGGAACCGGAGAAGAGCAAAACAACGACGCCGAGGAGCTTGAAACTCCCGTGTTTGAAGATTTTCCTTCTACAGCTCGTACAACATTTGTTCCTATCCCGCCTGAAGACTACGAGCCCCCAACTCGGCCATTTAGGGATCCGGCCGAGGTGGCCAATAACCGACTGCCCTTTATGACTCCCATCACCGAGAGGACTGAAGTGTCTCTGGATGTGACTATGGAGCGCCGTGGATACAAGACACCTTCTAAGAAGGATAATTCTCCAACTATTAACGAAGAGGACGAGGGGAGTTCAGATTCAGAACCTCTAAGCAGCCCTCTTCGAGAGATGGTCCATGATCCTATTCCACCCCCCAAGATGCCCGCGCCTCTTGCTCCAAAGTCCATTGGGCCTTTGGGCAAAGCAATCCCTCCTAAGCCTCTTGCTCCAAAGGGCCCCATTATCAAGGATGCTCAGTGTAACCCTGTGGATGGATCAGTTCGTTCTGAGATCATCGCTAGGATGTTACCCCCATTGAGCTCGTATTCTGGCTTCTATGACCATCGACATGAGAAATATGAACGAGGGGCTGAGATCCGCAAGTTTGCCAAGGCCCTGGCCAAGGCAAACAAGTCAGGCGATAATAAAACGGGACCTGTTGCTGCTCCTGTAGTGATTGAGCTCCCTGGCACTCCTTCGACCTACACAATCAGGAAAGAACTTGGTGCTGGAGCATTCGCACCTGTTTACCTTGTTGAGAACTCGGCTCCAGAAGCTGATGAGAACGATGAGAACGCAATACCTACAATGGGCAAGGGCGCTTTCGCAGTTAGCCATCGCAGTGACATCGAGGCTTTAAAGATGGAGAACCCACCTACACCATGGGAGTTCCATATGATGCGTCTGGCTCACACTCGCTTGGGCCCTCAGCATCGTGCTTCTGCCTCCCTGTCTTACGCGCATGAGATGCACCTCTTCCAAGATGAAGCGTTTCTTTTCTTGCCTTACCATCCCCACGGCACCCTTTTAGATGTTGTCAACTTCTTCCGAGCTGAACCTTCTGCCGTCATGGATGAGCAACTGGCAATGTTTTTTACTATCGAGCTTCTGCGAACCGTTGAGGCTCTTCACTCCAAGGGTATTCTGCACGGAGATCTCAAAGCCGACAATTGCCTGCTACGTTTGGACGCACTGTCTGATGACGAGTCCCTGACAGCTCAGTGGAAGGCTGATGGGAGTGGTGGGTGGTCGTCGCGTGGAGTTGTCCTTATTGATTTTGGTCGCGGTATTGACATGCGTGCCTTTGTCCCCGAAGTTGAGTTCATTGCCGACTGGAAAACCAGCGCTCAAGACTGCGCTGAGATGCGAGAGGGCCGCCCATGGACGTGGCAGATTGACTACCACGGCCTCGGTGGCACAATTCACACTCTCCTCTTTGGCAAGTACATCGAGACTGTACGGTGTGACCAAGGTGGACTCGGCAAGTCTGGTCGACGTTACAAGATCCGTGAGAGCCTCAAGCGATACTGGCAGACTGAACTCTGGTCTGACTGTTTCGAGCTTCTACTAAACCCCGGGGCTGCTGCAGCCGCTGGGGGCGAGGATGGTGGCAAGATGCCTGTGCTGAAGTCGATGAGGAATGTCAGGGAGAGGATGGAAACCTGGTTGGGGGCCAACTGTGAGAGAGGTGTTGGACTGAAGAGTGTCATGGCCAGGCTTGAAGCTACCTTTGGCAAGAATCGCAAGTAGAAGTGACCAGTGGGTGGTGTTGTCGTTCTTCGAGGCCTGGCGTTGGATATCGGTAGAGGGGGCGTTGGTTGACTGAGTATTTTCTGCTTGTGTTGGTCCTTGCTCTCTGCAAGATAAATGGTCGTGAGCAGTTATACCCCTTTGGAGAGTATCATAGATCTGGATGAGCCTGGCGATGGAAATACTGATTGGTTTATGTCTGCGTTCATGAGAAGTTACTCGTCATTCGTCACTTTATGAATCTTGTCGTATGCAGTGAGTGACCGCTACAGCTATAACTTAACCAGGAAACCTAATCATGCCAAGCAAGCTTCAGGCCAGATAACGTCGATAACCACCATAGCCCTGTGAAGTATAAAAGAGACGACCGTATGATATTGCATTGCACCCAACTGTCCGCTCCAAATCCTTTCCATCAGCCGCAACTCGCTACACACACTACAGTAACCAATTGAAGACATCTACTCGCTCTCGTCATCAGAATCATCCTTCTTCTTCCGCTTCCCTGCCTTCTTGGTCCCCTTCTTGGCATCCTTGGCCATTTTACGATCAACCTGATCCTGTATCTTGTTCCTTTCTGACTCTCCCTGGGCCTGCAACTCTATTTCGAGGTCCTTGAACTCCTCAGTCTCCGCATCCATGCCCACAAGTCGCTCCAAGAGCTTGATCTCGTTAGCCCAGACCTTCTTGTCCTCGACAGATTTGCCGTCAGCACCCAGCCGATCAATGGGCGTCTCGAGTACCATAGGCATACCCGCGAAAGGGGCATGGTTCATGATGCAGTGAAAGGCGCGGAGGCCGAGAAAGCCCGTGCCGATGTTGGCGTGGAGATCTCTATTGGAATTGAAGGGAGCTTTGCTGTCGTTCACTAAAAGATGTCAGCTGCTGCAGAAAGGAAGGGTATAGATCGAATACTTGCAGTGGAAGGCCTTGAGATATCTGTGACCGACAATGTCGTTGAAAGAGTTAACAGTCTTACTGAATGCCTCTGGTGTTCTTAGGTCATATCCGGCTGCAAAGGCATGGCAGGTGTCAATGCAAACACCAACTCTAGATTTATCCTCAACCAGGGCAATGATGTCCCTCAAATCCTCCCAGGTTGATCCAATGACATTTCCACTGCCTGCCATGTTTTCCAGGACTGTAATCACCGTCTTGGTAGCCCTGTGCGACTTGTTAAGCTGCGCGGCAATACGTGCAATGGCTGCTGGCCGAGCATCTCCGCCGGTCGATCCAGGATGAAAGTTGTACAGGCGAATCCCCAGCTGCTCGCAACGTTCTAGGTCATCCAGAAAGGACTTATATGCTTGGTCCGCCTTCTCCTCATCAGCCTGCGCTAGATTGACGAGATATGAGCCGTGGGGAAGGGCATGTTCGCCTGCGCTATAACTGTGTTCTTTGCACATTGAGATGAATTGATTCTTGGCCTCATGGTCAAGAGGCGGGTTCGTCCATTTTCTTTGTGACTTGAGGAAAAGTGCAAAAGCGTTTGCGCCGATGTGGACAGCGTTTGTGACGGAATTCTGTACTCCTAGAGGGAAACGTTTAGCCTAGGTACAACCAAGGAAATAAAGTACAAGGCTAACCTCCTGCAGCACTGACGTGAGCGCCAATGTTCATGGTAGGTTGAAGTGACGACACGTCCGTTCTATCTGCCAAGGGTTTCGCATCTTCGTCCTTTGCCTTTGTTTTGCGCTTCTTGGTCGTCTTTGCCGCTGGAGCTGGGGAGGCTATCTCAGGTTCGGGCGAGGCTTTCCGCTTCGTTACTGTCTTTACAGATGCAGCCTTTGCAGTTGCGGTCTTTGTAACTGCACCCTTAGTTTTCTGAACGACCTTAGTCGCAGCCGCTACAGCCTTGGTCACCTGGGGCATCTCGTGGTCGTCAGGGTCCTCGTTGTAGCTAACTGCCTGCCTTTTGCGCAGAGACGTACGAGCCATCGCCGATGAAATTGAACCCCAAACAGAAGGGCCGACTTGTCAATTGCGCCCGAAATGTTTTGGGAGTCTTGATAGGCACTAGGTTAGTAGCTAGTTTGGTGGATGAATTAGAGTGAATGTCAATTGTTAGGAGCTACACTATATGACGCGATCCACGCGCTCAGTCCTTCACTTCCATGCGCGCAGTCACGTGCCTGTGTAATAGACGTGCAGAACCGTGTCAACCGAATGGAACCTCGCGTGGAAAGAAACAATAATACGCGCGGTACATGCATGCAATCAGTGAATGGGAGGAAGTTTGCTGCATACGATAGAAGCTTCAAAATTAAGACCAATATATATGCGGACCGCCCTTGATACAATCAAAATACGAAATCCCACGCCATTCTGCCTGTCTGTATCTTGAGAACAACTACGATAGTCGTCAATCTAGCAACCAATATATAAGCATCTCAAGCATCCTGCAGCAAATAAGAGAAGTCTAGGCGAAGATTTCCAACTCGGCCTTGCGATCGGCAGCAAACTGATCCTTGTATGCATCCCACAGCTTCTCAATTTCCTGAACATAACGTTCATGCAGCTCATCAATGTCCTGTTGGCCTGGTTGAGGTCCATGAGCCTTGTCAACTCGGATCGGCCGTCCGATAACAATGTTTACGGGTCGACGATAAGGCATGAGACCAACATCATAGTTCAGCACACCACGGCCGTGGAGAGCTGGCACGGTAAACTTGAAAACCTTGAGAAATATCATCTGGATTCGGTGTACAAGGGGGTGTGTCTTAGGGCTCAGCTGGTCATAGAGATCGTTCTCTCCAAATCCAATAACAGGAACTAGATCGGCTCCGGTACGAAGTGCCATCTTGACAAACCCCTTTCGACTCTTGAGGATCAACCGAAGGCTTCCTGGTTGGGCCTCGAGCGATTCGCGGGCACCGCCAACAACAATAGTAACAGCGCGGCCTCGGCCATCATTGCTAGGACCGCCCTTTGAGAGAAGATTCCATATTGATTCCTTAGAGACTGACTGGAGTCCGTGAAGCATGATGTAATCGCGGTAGAAGGGGAGACGGAAGTTGGAGTCGAGGGTGAGGAGGGTGTTGGTGATTCCCGGGAACAGTTCGCGAAATCCAAGAGCATTGGTGCCAAAGGCGGCGAAGGCTCCATGGGAAATGATGCCGTGTGGATGGTACCCGAAGACGTATTTCCTATCGGTCGGTAGTTCGTGCGTCTTGTGCAGCTTCATGGGGAAGTATCCAGTGAAGAGCTTCCAGAGTTTGAGGCTTCGTACCCATTCTGAGCGATACGTCAGGTTGCCGTTGGTTCCTGCAGTTGAAAGAGCAAGATGGATCAGATAAATTATAATGATAGGCCAAGCGAGCGGATTGGCGCAGATCAACCAAAAGGCTGACACAAATGTGGCAATAGACATGCAATGAAACAAGACTGCTGCAGTCTGTAGCCGTCGCCTCATGGGCACTCGCAATGGCGCGAAACGAATGCCTCCCGCGCGCCAGCTCCCCGTCTTGATACCTTTAGGATGAGCGGTAATGGGGAGCTCGGGATAGGACCATTGATCATGTCTGCTGGTGTTATCCACGTCTCTATCAGCGACAACATCCGCGTAGCTCTTTGCACCATTGTTTGGATCTCCTTCTTTGCCGTCTCTCTCGTCCGCTTCAGCTGCTGCTGCTGCATAGCTCTTTCCAGTGCCGTTTCGAGTCCCACTCGGGACTCCTCCATTCAGCTTGCCATCAGGCGCACCGTCTGTAGAAAGCATCAAATCGTCAAAGTCGGCGTTGCTGGTAGAGATGCTCGACTCGAAATCACGATCAGGCAGCTGTGGGCGCTCCGGATCTCTCTGCCAACAGTGATTAATACAGTTTCTTTGATGATTTGAAGCCGGAGGGCTTAATACATACAGTTTCGACAGTGTCTCCATTCTGCAGCAGGGACGGCTCGGCCGGATGCTCATTTTCCGGATTAGGAATTGTTGTCACTTTTTCAATTGTATTAGAAGGATGGGCCCCTTTGAAGTATGTTAGTAAGTCTCTGGGAAAATCGTACTCAATGTATCAGCAATCAAACTATCACGTCACCATTTGCTTGCTTCACAACGCAAAGAAGTATGAAGGGCCCAAAGCAGGCACAAATCAACGGCACATGAATGAATTGGCTTACCGTTGATGAGGGGAACATCACTGTCAACCACAGTGTTCGACATGATACACAGCGCAGCTCAAATGTTGCTGCTTCGTGACAAGGCAGGATCCTTGAGCGGAGGGATATCCGGGGGGGTCTTGGGGATGTCGGGAATTGCACGAGAAACTGCTGATCGCAAGCACAGTCACATCAGAAATTGATATAAGAAGAAGGGTATGTATTGGCGATGCCGCGAGAGAGAAAGAGAATGGAAATTTTCAATCGGCGACTATGACACGGGCATTAGCTGCCATGATATCGCCTTACGGAGAGGGTGGAACCTGAACCGCTTTCGTGTTTGTGTTATGCAAAATGCTAAGTGCCAGTGATGACGTCGCACCAACCATAGGTCATGTCTGACACGTGAAATCAGAAGCTTCGATCTTGATCTGGCCAGGGGGGAGCGAAGTTTGTCCATGTCTCCACTTGCCGCTCCTTTACACAAGTTTAGTAGACAGTCCCTGTCCGTACGAAGGTAACTCAATGCGAGATTTGATAGATGAGGTCCTTACGTAGGTAGGTAGGTAGGGATTTCTTTTCAGCGTAAGGTAAGGTAGGTAACTCAATGTGCGCTTGACTTGAGCCTTGCTTTTAGATTATAACTACCGGGTGCTTTGTGAGCATCGTCGTAAATTATCAATGACTTTAATCCATATGCCTACATGTGTAGTAGTAAATATCTGCCGTCAACTGTGCTGTGTCTCAGAGTCCCCAATTAATTATTCCCCAGTCAGCGCCCTGCTACCCGGCAGGGACCATCAAATTCCATGAGCCTCGGTTAGCCACAGATAACAAGAAGCACATCCTCAACATACAGCAGACGATGACAGAACTTAATCACTTGCCATGTTCACTCTAGTAAGAGCTTATGGCCCTCGACGAGTTAGACTCTATATACAAAGCTTCCACTCTGCATAATACAACTCTTTCACACTTGTACCAGCACATAGATCCTTGCTGCCACGAGGCACAGTATCTGGACAAAAACAACAATATATGTTACATGAAATAACGATGGGATAATCATGATTAGACCGTGCCCCGTTCTTTTGGCGTGGAGGTCCCTACCTTCCACAGAAATAGAAAAGGAAAAACAAAAAAAGCATGTCCCAATGTCCGATAAACGCCTCCCTGAGCACCGTGCCAAATACTTCTCAAGGTTAAAAAAACGAAGGTCGTCTCTGTGTGCTCTGGTATATAGTAACGCAGTACGGAAGCACTCATGAATGAGTGTAATGCAGGCTGTGTTATACTTTGGCGACAGCCGCCGCGGCGGCATCGCGTGTTTCCATCTGTTGTTTCAAGTCTGCAACGACATGGTCCAAAGTCGAAACCTTATCTGTAAGCGCCTTGACTTTCTCCTCTAGCGCCTGAACATACGCCCACACACTCGGATCACTCTGAGCAAACATGTTTCCGCTGTCGTTGATAGACTGCGCGCCACTGCCGCTCCGGGTGTGAGAGAAGCCGGTTGACCCAGGCGCCGCGAACTCAGGATGCGACAAACCGGGAAGTTTGGGCCGGGGCTGCGAATTATGCGGTGACTGTAAATCCGATGCTCGACGTCCAAACTGCGCCTGCTGCAGCTGCTGGGTCAAACTAGGAGACCGCTGGCGCGCCAAATTATTGGAGTCATGTCCTTGCACCCCAGGGCTCAAGGGTTTTGGAGACTCCGTAATACCAGTCTGGGAATACATGTTCGCATTGGCGGCCGCAACGGATGCGATTCCCGCGGTAGAATTGTGCCCCGCAATGTTGTTGGCGACAGACTGAGAAGGGTTGGAATTTGCCTGGTTTTGGTTGACATTGGGGGGATAAAGTCCCCCAGTCCCAGGTCGAGCACCAGGTGGTGGATATGTCCGAGCATGGGTGTTGTAGCCATCAACTTGTGCTCCTGCAACATGTTGGGCGGTGATACTTGGTAAACTTTGACGTCTCAGTTCATCTTCCTCAGGGTTATCGTACGCAAGTCCAGACATGGCCGATTCATCAGCTTCGCCAAGACTGGTCTCAATATCGTTGTCATCAACGAAACTACCCATGCTGGATCGCCGCCCAGCACAGCCACCAGCGCCCTTAGAGTGACGAGCGAGCGCATCGCCGCGAGCGAACTTTCGGTCACACTTGGGACAAACGTGGGGCTTCTCACCAGTATGCAGTTTACCGTGACGCTTGAGGTCGTGCAGACGACGGAAACGCATCTGGCATTCCGTGCAAACGTATGGTTTCTCTTGGCTATGCGTCAACAAATGGCTCTTGAGGTTGTGGTGGCGTGTAAACTCAGTATTGCAGTAAGGACATTTGTGCTTCTTTGACCCAGATGATGTAGGAGATGTCTGGCCTGGGGTAGGCATCGGAAAGCTCATGCCTCGAGTTGGGGTTTCTGTCAGGTTGCCCGTAACCTGAAGAGAGCCAGGGTACGATAGGGATCCAGGCTGATGTCTCTCTTCCTGCCCGACTACTTGCTGTAACGACTGGTGATGCTGCTGGTGATCAATTTTAGGTGCGTCCACTTCCATTGGAGTCGGGCTTTCGGTGACGGGGACCCCAACAAGGCTGTTGGTGCTCTGCGGACTTGGTGCGCCATGCTCTTCGACCTGACTTGTCGCGGTTTGCGCCAGCGACACGGGGTTTGTAGGCTTTGGAGATGGGTCCATGGTAGCTGTTGGTGCTAGCTGAGGCGCGTCAGCAGGGCGGCTCATAGCCTGAACCGCTCCAGACATGAGGGAAGTCAGAACTCGGTGGCTAGGATTGTCGCTCGTGGGTGCTGGGGCCCGTGTCCCGTCGTCGTGATCGTCAACTTCGCGTCGCCGGCGCTCGTCTTCGAGGGCAGCTGCCGCGGTCAAAGGCGTCGGAGAAATACTCGACGCGAGTGCCAAACGGGCAGACTTGGCCGGTGACCCAAGTCCCAGGAGTCCCTGCGACTGCGCGACGAGAGAGCGCGGCGATGAAGGTGACGTTGAACGAGGCCGTTTGAGCAATCTGATAGCAGCGTCGTCTGAAGGGATGATAGCAGGAGGGGTCGCCTCTGCGCGCGTTGCGGGCGGGGGGTCGATCGCGGTAAAGGCGGAAGCGTCCGATGCCATAGAGGCAGATGGCAAGCAGAGAATTGGAATAATCAAATGCAAATCTGATCCAGCATGCGATCAATTTCGAGGTTTCGATGTCGCAACAGCCTTGGGCCAAAGGCACATATCGGGGCGAGATGGATTAATGTGTGGCTGGAGACGTGGCGAGAGCTGATATTTTCCCCCGGGTCAGGGCAGAGGCGAGTGAAGGAAGAAGCAAGCACTGGGTGGGCGGGTTTACGCTGTGGGCAGTGGGTGGCTTAGGCGAGGAATGCAACAAACAGAATTGAGGCTCGAGAACCGGCAATACAGTAGCGTGAAGAAAGGACGATTTAAGGCAAGTATTCTGGGGAAATGACAATGAGCCAATGTATCCGTGAGAATGGTTGACAGTAATGACGATGTAGCACTGAAGGAGAGTTGTGCAAGGAGACGTAGAGAAAGAAAGTGAACAAGGCGGCCGATGAGAGAGATGCGAGGCGAAGACGGGCGATGAGCGATAGTGAGGGCCTCTGAAAGTGGGCAAGTGGGTAAGAACCTTTCCTGATTGGATCACAACGCATGGCGGGTTGAATAAGTGGGGTACGCGAGAGGGAAAGAGTGTGTGGGCGTGTGTCAGTGGATTGTTGACAGCTGCCGGGCTGGTTCCTCCCAAAGAGGCCTGTCCTGTCTCTCAGGTGGGATCGTGCCAGAAACCTGGTAGGTAGGTAGGTACCTTGGGTTCAATGTACCCTGTCACCTTCCTTAGGTACCTTAACTTATCCCGTCACGAATGTTTTCTTTTATTGTTTTGGGAAAGCACTATGTAACCATATGCAGCTCCGAGATAGCATTAGCCGCAAGGTTTGCATTAAAACAAGCTAATGAGGTACCTGGAACACAATTACTTCGCGGAACGATCATTCATTCATAGAGATAAATAACGAGATATATTGGTGACGGTGTCTCGCCTAGGGCAGCCAACAAAACACGCCAGCGACGCGAAAACCAGTGGAAACGTAGGGGGAAAAGGAAACGCGCGCCTGGTTGGGGACCGCCCCGGAGCGGAAGATGATGACCACAGCCCAAAGTGAAAGCCCGAAGAGCGCCAAAGCGGACAGAAGTGGGTGATGCGAATACGTTTCTGGTATGAAGCGACGGGCTAGAAACGTGCTGGGGAAAGGTCTAACTGAAAGTGACTGATTTTCGTTTCAAGATACTTTGACGTCAGGTACCGCTATTCCCTGCTGAGGAAACATCCATCATTTGGTCAGCCAGCCAAGACATTCACCACCGTCCAATGATTTGCCTGCATCTTGCAATCGCGATCCCAATGGAGTCATCATCGACAGTGATTTACTGTTTTATTGGCAAACCGCCTCTTCGACACTCTTCTCTCCTCTTTTGACCTTACACCCCAGCACAGCCCTTGCTTTGCGGAACTGGATGTCGAGATCTCAGCCTCTGACGGGGCCGCCCGAGGCGCATATATATACCATCTTACTACAGTCAATAGCATGTGCCTGCAAGACGGAGGACAGGCGGGAAGACGCTTCCACGCTGAGCGGGAGATGACGACAGCTGCTTCTGGCGTCGTTCTTCTTTATGACACTTCGGACACTGAAGGGCTTACCGGTACTTGGGTCGCGAGTATCGGTATATCTAGTCTCAGGACGACCCACTGATTACCTTCGGGTTCTCCAAATCGACAAGGCAAACAGGTTCCACAAGCTATCCTAATAAGCGGCATGTCACTGCTCTATCGTAGGTTGAGAGGCGGATCGAGTTGACTCGAAGGCGAGAAAATGAACAAGAAACAAGAAACAAGAAACATGGGAACGTGAATGAAGACTTGCTGCCGCCCACTCTGTCCGGGCTTCTTATGGCATTCGATTATTGCAAGGAGAAACGAGACGAAGGCAACTAATTCACAATGACAAACCCTTCTGGTTTGTAGTAGTCTGGTGGTTTTCTC